GGATTTAAATTGCTTGATGCACAAAAATTTGAATTTTCAAGAAATTTACTCAATTAAATTAAATAAATTAAATAAATATTCATATGGATTAAGCAACCCAAACACGTGGTATAATCACCTTAATGCATATTTATTGAAAGAAGGTTATAGAAATAATCCTATATGCCCATGTATTTTATAAAGGGGTTTAGATATGAATTTATTATAATTGCTGTTAATGTTGATGACTTAAACATGAAGAGTTATCAAAAGCCGTGGATTACTTAAAGAGAGAATTTAAGATAAAATACCTTATAAAAAAATAAAGTTTTGTTTGGGTCTTTAGATTGAATACTTGACAAATAGAATTTTTATCCATCAATCAAATTATATAGAAAAATTGCTAAAATAATTTTATATAAATAAAGCATATGTATTGAGTTCACCAATGATTGTAAGATCATGAGATATGAAAAAAGACCCTTTTCGACCTCATAAGGATAATAAAGACCTTTTTGATCCTGAAGTACTGTAGCTTATTGAAATTGGAGCACTAATGTATCTTGCTGGCAATAAATGACTTGATATATCATTTTTTGTGAATTTATTAGTAAAATATAGTTCTTATCCAACTCGAAGATATTGGAATAAAATCAAACATATACTTCGATATCTCCGAGGAACAATGAATATGGAATTTCATTATTCAAATGCATCAAAATAAAATTTAATTGGCTATACAGATGCAGGATATTTATTTGATCCACACAAAGCTTGATCCCAGATAGGTTACTTGTTCATATATGGAGGTATGTCTATTTCATGGTATTCTATAAAACAAACTATAGTTGCTACTTCTTCTAACTATGCAGAAATTTTAGCAACTTATGAGCAAGTCGTGAATGTGTCTGGTTAATATCTGTAACTCAACATATTCGAGAAACGTATGACTTTTCAACCAAGAAGGAAATTTCAACAATGTTATATGAAGATAATACTGCTTGCATAGCATAGTTAAAGGAAGGATATATTAAAGGTGATTGAACAAAACACATAATTTGTCAAAATTCTTCTTCATTCATGATCTCCAAGAAAATGGTAAAATTAGTATTCAACAAATACAGTCAAGTGACAATCTAACAAATTTGTTCACCAAAGCTCTTTTTCCTGCAACATTTGAAAAGTTGATATAAAATATTGGAATGCATCATTTTAAAGATCTCTATAATGTAGTCATCAGGGGAAGTAAAATACGTACTATACTCTTTTCTTTCATCAAGGTTTTTCCCATTGGGTTTTTCTTGATAAGGTTTTTAATGAGTCAGTATTTCAAAAGTGTATTCTTGAAAAGATTATGTACTTTTTTTCCTTCACTCGGATTTTTTTTCCATGAGGTTTTTTGCTAGTAATGTTTTAACGAGGCATATTCTTAATACAATGAATATTCAAGGGGAAGTGTTATGAATATTTTTGTGAATATTCATTTATATTATCTACATCTAAATTTGATGTAAATTAGATTAGATTAAGATTTAATCCATGTAATCCCTAAGTATCATCTTCATCTTGTAAATTTCATCTAGATAAGGGATTATTAGCTTATAAATAAACCCTTCAATTGATTTGTAAATACATACTGGAATAAGATCTTCTTACTTCCTCTAAATACTCTCTCTCTCTATCTAAATACTCTCTCTTATATTTCTCTTATAGTTATTCTTTCAGGTTTATTTCATAACAATTATGCATTTGTTC